GGGTGTGGGAGCTCAGCCTGCAGGGCCGGCGAAGGCGGCAGCAGGAGCGCAGGCAGCAGGCGTTGAGCATGGCTCCAGGGGCAGCCGACGCCCAAATAGTACCTACCGACCCCAGCGACTTCGACCAGCTGACCCAGTGCCTCATCCAGGCCCCCAGCAACCGGCCCTACTTCCTGCTGCTCCAGGGCTACCAGGATGCCCAGGTGAGCTCAGCCTCTCTCCCCCAGAGAACCCTGTGCCCCACCCCTAGGTTGAAGGGCGACAGAACTACAACCCCCAGAATTCCTTGGGCTACCGTGTACTGGAAGGTGTGGTCCCAGCAGGGTAGGAGATATTTTTTAAAATATATATATTTTATTAATTTTTTACAGAGAGGAAGGGAGAGGGAGAGAGAATTAGAAACATCGATGAGAGAGAAACATCGATCAGCTGCCTCCTGCACACTCCTGTGTCCGCAACCAAGGTACATGCCCTTGACCGGAATCGAACCTGGGACCCTTGAGCCCGCAGGCCGACACTCTATCCACTGAGCCAAACCGGTTAGGGCAGTGGTTCTCAACCTTCCTAATGCCGTGACCCTTTAATACAGTTCCTCATGTTGTGGTGACCCCCAATTTCATTGTTACAAATTGAACATAGTTAAAGCATAGTGATTAATCACAAAAACAATATGTAATTATATATGTGTTTTCCGATGGTCTTAGGCGACCCCTGTGAAAGGGTCGTTCGACCCCCAAAGGGGTCTCGACCCACAGGTTGAAAACCTCTGGGTTAGGACAAGGTAGGAGATATTGTAGGAGAGGATAGTAGGAGTGGAGGAGGATAGATGGCTGAGAAAGATTCCAGGACGAGTAGGGAATAGTTCCCTTTATTCAAAGTTGGGGAAGGCACTGTGGATCCCAAGGGAGAATGGAACAGCCTGTTGTAGAAAGATCTCCATAAAAGTGCCCTGAGGGGGGTAATGGAAGAGTCTGTCTTCTGGGTGAGCCTCTATTTCCAGGAGAGGAGTGGACGAATCCCTTTTTAAAAGGTGGCTTACACTGATCCTTCTATTTTACATATTTGGGTGGCAGTCGACTTGTTGGAGTGTTAAGGAGCAGAGAGGGAGAAAGGGCTAGCAGTTGGGAGTCGGTGGGAAGTTATTTCATCCATAGAACTGTTATGTATTAGTGGAAATACTCATATTTTTTGTGTGATGATTAGGAGAATCATCCTTATAGTACCTACCAAGCTCAACAGGTATGGTTGGGATCAATGGGAGAGCCACTGTAGGAGGTGGTGGAGCTAATGGAACAGTCCTATTTCTACTATCAGAGAAAGATCCAATGGGCTCACGGCTTACCTGCGTATGTGGGTGAGAGTTTAAGACTATTCAGAAAAGAGTTTGCACAGAACAGAAGTCATTCCTTTGTTGACCAACAGGATGGAGCAAGTTCATGGTAGGAAAGGGGTTGCATATATTATAACAGCTCATTCCTCCAGATAAGGTTGGAGAAAAAAGGGTCTATTTTGGGAATGTGGCCAAATTGGAAGGATCTATTTGGGGAGTATGGGACAGCCTTCTATGGGAAGAGGGGGAGACATTGGAAACATCCATTCTTTTTGGTGAAGCTCATGAGAAATTCCTTTGTGAGAAAGAGGCTTGATTAGAAGTGTCCATTCCTTGGGAAAAGGAGTAAGAGGCGAGTCTACTATAGAAAGGATTTTATTTGCACGCCTCTATTCATGGGTGGCTGTAATCTGAGAGTTCACTGTGTCTGCTGTGCAAGCATCCCTCCTTGGTTTAAGGAACAGGAGAGCCCATTTTAGAAAGGGGGTTCATATACATATATATATATATATATTATATATATAACATATATATGTGTGTGTATACATATACATATATAAAATATATATATGTAATTATTGATTTTAGAGATGGAGAGAGAGATAGAAACATCAATGATGAGAGAGAATCATTGATTGGCTGCCTCCTGTATGCCCCCTACTGAGGATTGAGCCTGCAACCCAGGCATGTGCCCTTGAGTCCACAGGCCGACGCTCTATCCACTGAGCCAAACGAGCTAGGACCATATATTTTGGGTCATTCCATTCCTTTGACAGGGTTGGAAATGGGAGCGTCTACCTTCAGAAAGAGGTCAGACTGAAAAGGTCTGTTTTTCCAGAGGCAGATGAGCAAATCCATTGTAGGAAGGGGTCTCTTTGGAAAAGTCCACCCGTTGGGCAAGGGTAATGGGAGAGCTCAGTGTGGGAAGAGGATGTATGAATATCAGAATGACTGTTCTCTCAGACATGCATGGAGCACAGAAGGGTCTAATGTAAGAAGCGGATCAGACGGAGCTCTTCCGTTTTCCTGGGATGGAGATGGGAGAGTCATTTTTTTAAAAAAAATATATTTTATTGATTTTTTACAGAGAGGAAGGGAGAGGGATAGAGAGCTAGAAACATCGATGAGAGAGAAACATCGATCAGCTGCCTCCTGCACACTCCCCACTGGGGATGTGCCCACAACCAAGGTACATGCCCTTGACTGGAATCGAACCTGGGACCCTTCAGTCCGCAGGCCGACGCTCTATCCACTGAGCCAAACCGGTTAGGGCGAGAGTCATTTTTAGGAAGGGGTCTTCTGCAATGCACCTCTTCCTTTAGTGGGTGCAATGGGGCCCTCCATTATAAGGAGGTCCTTGAAAACATCTATTAATAAGGTGGGGTGCCCTAACCGGTTTGGCTCAGTGGATAGAGTGTCAGCCTGCGGACTCAAGGGTCCCAGGTTCGATTCTGGTCAAGGGCACGTACCTTGGTTATGGGCACATCCCCAGTAGGGGGTGTGCAGGAGGCAGCTGATCGATGTTTCTCTCTCATCGATGTTTCTAATTCTCTATCCCTCTCCCTTCCTCTCTGTAAAAAATCAATAAAATATATTTTAAAAAAAGAATAGTTCTTAAAAAAAATTCTTAAATTCTCTAAAAAAAAAAAATAAGGTGGGGTTACTAGAAGTGCCACTATACGGAGATGTCCTTTTTGGGGGATGGGAATATTGAGAGCGTCCATCGATGGGAGAGCATCTTTGGGAACATCCATCATGGGAGAGGGGGTACCAGTAATAGGTAAGTTTATTGTAGGATTATGTCTCTTCGGAAGCGAGTCCATCATAGGGTGGGAAAAAATGATAGTCCATTGTAGAAAGGGGGTCTCCTTGGAAGTGTACATTCATGGGGTGGAGATAATGGAAGAAATCTTTGCTCAAAGGGGGAGTCTCTTTAAAGGTATCCACTCCTTGCTTTGGGAATATTGAAAGAAACTGTATTTAGAAGGGGAAATGTCTTAGGAAGCCTCCATCATGGGGGTGGAATGATGGGTACGTGGGGCAAGGGGCAGGGAAATGGGAATGTTCCTCGGAGAAAGAAGGTTACCTTGGAAAGGTCCATTCTTTGAGGGGGGGAATGGAATAGTCCATTGTAGTAATGGGGACACACATTGGAAGTACCCCTTCTTTGGGCTGGATATTATGGGAGAGTCCACTGTAGCGATTGCTTTGAAAGAGTCCATTCAGGGGAGGTGAGAGGATGGGAGAATCTACTGGAGAAAGATCTGGGAATCATGCATTTTTTTTGAGGGAGGGGAATGGTAGGGCCCATGTCAAGAAGGGGGTTCCTGGCCCGCCTGTGTGGCTCAGTGGTTGAGTGTCGACCTATGAATTGGAAGGTCGCGGTTAGATTCCGGGTCAGGGCACATGCCCCGGTTTTTGTGCTCCATCCCCAGTGGGGGGCGTGCAGGAGGCAGCCAGTCAATGATTCTCTCTCATCATTGATGTTTCTATCTCTCTCTCCCTCTCCCTTCCTCTCTGAAATCAATTAAA